TTATTCCACATTTTTACCATATATGTGACAAATAATCACTTCTTAGTGGAAGACCTTCCTCACTTCACCGGACAATTGTGCTGTGACCTGTACAAACACCGAGTGGTGTTAGTACGATCACCCCAGACTATATTCATACCTTTCCACGTGAATGACACGTACATTCAATGGAATTTACAAACAATCGAACATGCTTCGCCCAAGTTTCTACCCCCAGATCAATCATCCCGGTGATATCGATATCGTACGGGCAATAGAGATAACACAGGAACGAGTGGTCTAGTTCCGGGGTCGGGACACCATTTTTAAAACCACAACTTTCGAGAAAAAAATTGTCGAACACTTACCGACATTTTGATATATTCGCACCTACATACATAAAGTTACAAAGTTTCACCCCAAAAAAGAATGTGAGCCTGTTGGAGGTTATTCCATTCTCGTGTATCGGGTGACATTTATTTCCTTCGAAGTCAGAACGCTTTTACAGAACGACCTTTCCCCGGAAGATTGTGTTTTGTTGTTAGGCAACAAGTATTCATGAACGGGTAAGACAGAAAAAAATGTACGACCACAAATTGCACGTACTAGATTTTACGTAGCATTTCATATACAAAAATAAGATTTAATTTCATAATTATTCGAATAACATGGAATTTAAATACTTTATTGTATCGATTATGCGCCAATACGAAAGCAATAAGGGACGAGAACACGTTTGTAAAATGGCATAGTCCAAATTACCCAGAAATCCTATGAGCACATTTGTTTGTTTGCTCGCCAGTGGACTTTACTCTTATTACTGCTATCCATGATAACGGGAAGAACTTTTCAAGGCCGGAGGAGTTGTATAATATCAACCAATCCGCTGTATTGTTAATGATTATAAAAGTATATCGTTAAACTCACAAATCTCATGAAGTTAAGAGTTGTATAAAACAGATGGACATTAAAAATAAAGAGCCACGTATTTAAAAATCTAGAGGGGCTGGAGCCTGGGGATTTTTTTTTTGCAATTATTTTATTCACATATGCCTGACGACATTTTTTGTATTTACATGTCTTTTTCCAACTATTATGCGACCATTGTGCAAATTCACCTATTTCGTTTGTGTTCCGACCACTTACAGTTTTTAACTTGAAAGTACCAGTCGAAAATATGCTAAACATGTTTTTTTAATAGAAATGATAAAAATGTTGCCTGTCAAAATACACTACAGCACACATCATAAAATAAGTTGATAAAATAATAATTTGTCCTTCCAATTTCAAATAACGTGACGAAGACGTGGAGCGACTGACTGATCCAACAACTGAATCACAAGAAAACTCTTTAAAGACCGTTCTGCCCTCCTAACGTGTATTATGGTGAACTCCTTAATTCTCTTATTACCGGTATGTTTGTTTTATAGCCAAGTGGAATCTATTTGCTTTATAATTATTGCGTGTCAAGTAGGATTCCATTTGGTTAACCAATCATTTTTAGCTTTGTGGACAGACCAGGAAAGCGACGAATCTAAATAACATTTATTAAGGACTCACTGAGCTGGTTATGTATTCCGAATCCTTGTATATGTGTGCTCCACTAGATTCCCAATACCGGCACTTACACAAGCCTGTTATGAATTTGGGAGAGAGGAAAAATCGTTGTTGAATAGAACAACAAAAAACTGGCGACCTTATAATTTACAAGAATTTGTAAGAACGTGAACGATAAAAAAAAATCGTATGTTTGTGTGAATGACTTATTGCGTCATATATACTTCACCACCCTGGTTTCAAATGGAATCCCTTACGCAAACACCTGACCCCTTTCTTGCGTGCGTATCGGAATATCATACACGATTATACTCTGATCTCGTATGGTAGGCCTATACAGTCTTCAATTTCATTATACCCGGGGTCATACAACCAATACGGGACTGTTTTCTGCGTGATTTCGCGACCGGGGTTTGAAAAAGTGCCTTTCTTGCAGGTGTTCTTGGAGTCTTCGGTTTCTTTGATTTTGAACGAGGTTTACCTATCGTTCTTGTTTTAGGAGCAGACTTTGTTTTCACTGCCGGTAGTTTTCCTATTCTCAACCTCCCGGTGAGACCAGTGTTCGATGATCCCTTTGGACGACTCAGTACTCCTGATTCCAGGCCTTGTTTCACCGCTCGACGAAGGTTCGATGTCAGTGTGCCATTGACGAGGGTTGGGTACTGCGAAAGTATATATTTTTTGATCCTCTGGATGGAACTTCCCTTTCTGTTCTTATCCGTCTTGATGGCGTCAATAATCATGTTCAATGTCTTCGGGCGACTAGCTAAATCCTTGGCTGCGGCGAGTTTTGGTATCATTTTGACAACTGTCAGAGAAGAACGCCCCCAGAATGACCGCTACTGAATTTGACAAAGATTGTTGTGTATCACAATGCGCGTCAACGTGTGTGCCAAGAACGCGCCGGGCAACAGGTGTCAACGAGGCGCGTGCATTGACAAGTTCACGTGCATTTAAGCAAATTATTCAAAAGACATATCACTTGAATTCTATGCTCTATTGTCATTGAAAATAATAGATTCCAGCAACAGTTTACACCAGTACAAACGTAAATGTTCAGTCCAATCTCAC